GCTTTAGAGTCATTTTGCAAGTCTTTATTCAAGTAACAACAGAAATGAAATTAAAATGATCTTACTCAGAAACACAGTGCAACCAGTTTACTTTTATAAAATGGTTATTTTTATGGCAATAACTGTCTAATAATACAGGGGGGCAGGCAAACTATAGCCCTCTGGTCAAATGTATCCTGCCAGTTTTGTTGCTGTTGTTAATAAAATTTATTTCAACACAACCATGCCTATTTGTTCACATAGTTTTTATGGCTGTTTTCACGCTAAAACAACAGAGTTGTAAGAGGGGGACCCCAAACTAACAGAATCATTTTTTGGAGGATGGTCCCCTTGCAGTACAGACTTCCCCTGCCAAGTAAGTGTTCTAGGAACCCATTGACATCAGTGTACCAACTAGCATTACTGTGAAAGGTCGCGTTGTTTCAGTGAGTTTTTTTCTGAGATTATTTCAATGCATTCATCCATTTTATGAGTGGTTTAAATGTACCTGCCCACACGGGGCTGAGTGTTTTAGTTTTTGACCAAAAACAGCATGACCCCTGGGCCCCATCCTCCATATTCACCTGATCTTTCCCTGACAACTTTTTTTTGGCTTCCCCAGATGAAAAAAGTCCTCAAAGGAAAATGTTTTGCTGATGTAGAAGAGGTGAAACAAAAAATGGTAGAAGCACTAAAAGGCATCAAAATTGACAAGTTCAAAAACTGTTTTGAGCAGTGGAAAAAGCACCTCAAGGGTGTATTGGATCAAATAAAGAGGACTTTATTTTATTTTAACTTTTAATTTTTTTATTTTAAATATGTGGGGTACAATTCAGGGTTAGGTATACAAATGTTCATTATACAGTCACCCTTGTTGATGAGGTGTGACCCCCTTTCCCCAGGCAGATTCCCACTACTGCCAATCCTGCCTCCCTGCACTCACTCCCCGCACCCCCCACAGTTTCCTGCTACTGCGGGTGACTGCAGTTTAAACATGTAAGAATAAATACACAATTTCTCATAAATAAATCAGTTTTTTTGGTGTTCCCCCATATAGTCGTAACCAAGAAATATTATCACAAAGCTGAAATTATTTACCATCTGATATTTTTCAGAAAAATGTTCTCCAACTCTTGATCTAGTGATCAAGCAGTGTAGAATATACTGTTTGAAATAGTCTTCTAGAAGAAAAGAAGTAATTTTCAACAAGTAGTTATTGAGCACCCACTAAGTGCAAGATTGATCTTGTGAAATTCCGGAAAGAAAAAGATGCATCTTTTATAATCCTGTCCTTAAGAACTGTAGTCTAGTAGAAAAGGTTGGGAAAAAAAGATAAACAATTTTAAAACGTTAAGCCTTGAAAAACTATCAAAAATCCTAACTTTTTAAAAATGTAGCACAAATTTCAATAACTGTACTGATAAGGGAATTAAAAGCAAGAGAAATTCAACAACTGGGTTGACCTCATATAGTCAAGTAGAGAGGCAGCGACTTCAATCTCTACAATTTATTTCTTGTTGGTGTACGCTGCAGGATTTGACTTTAGAATTTTGTTTATTCAACATTTACCAAGTTTTAGCTTAGCATTTACTATAGGCCAAGGGCTCTTTCGTAGGCAATGTAAATAGGTCAATAGTAAAAAGAACAGACACCTTACCCAGTTAAGTTTCTCTTTCCCTTGAACTTGTAAGTGTGTAGTTTCTCTGATAAGGATGAGTGCTGGAGAAACACAGGGCAGATGAGGGTGATGGGAGGAAGGGAAAGGATCCCTGATAAGGCTGCTGTTAGAGAGGGCCCCACAGGGATGGAGGAGCCGGCCAAGCAGCAAGAGCTTTGGTGGGGAAGGCCTTGAGAAGAGAGGTGCTGAACCTGTGTCAGGAGAGCAAGGTCTTGAGGGGAGAGATTTGTGGGGTTTTGTAGTTACATGGGGGAATTTTAAATGGTTCAAATGTTGGATGAAATCCTCTCTTCAAACTCCTGACTATCTGTTTGACTTGGTCTTGAAGGATGTATGTGCATGTGTGTTACAAGGCTTGTGTGTGCGTCAGGGGGGCAGTTTTCACATGCAGTCTTATGTGAAATTCTGATTCTCAGGGAACCTCAGCTCACTGTTGGCATGGCAGACACCAGCATCGGAGAAGTAGCAATGGGAACAGCGCATTTAGGATCCACTTCAAGTTGATCTGAGAAGCACATAACTATTGTATTGCTGGTTCCCTGATTATATTTTCTATTTGAGTAAATAACAAAGAGAGAGTAAAAGAAACCTCACCATTCAAGTCTCGTTTGCACAAGACAAAATGACTGGTGAACACCTCATGGATCAGAGGGGACTAGAGCCCAGAAGGGCGGTCATGGTCTCTAGGATCATTGGCCTGTTAAGAATAACCCTCTCCAGACAGAGGAAAGCAATGAATAGCACACCAACTCTGGGTCCACATGGATAAAGGGATATAAGAAAACAAGTCATTCTTGAACAATTTAGACTAAAAAGTAAAATAATTCATGGATGGTGGAAATCCAACATTGCTTCAATGGTATGTTTTGCCCACATTCATTTAGGTAGTTGCCTCAACATTCACCCTGTCACACAGATTTGTTGGTAACAGAGGACCTAGATCTGGGAGAGCAAGTTCATTTGCAAAAGATGAAAATTCCACTGTGCTGTCCCAGACCTCTGCCATTCACCAGTAGACTGGGAGGTGTCCAGCAGGCCACATCACAGAGGCTGCAGGCTCACTCTGTCTGCTTGTATTTTCAACTCCAATATATCTAACCTTCTCTGAGACATCTAAAAAAAAAAAAAAAAAAAAACTGCCTAGGAAGGTGACCTGCACACTTTGCACTGGGGGAAACTGCAAACCTGAAAATTCTCAGCAAGAAAAACATGTCTTACCAAAGCGCAAACCAGACACTTGGCACCCATTCTCTGTGACGCAGGGCTCCCCGACTGGCAGGAAAACCACAGTAAAGAACTGATTATGCTGCTGGAACACATTCCATGGGCTGTCCAAGGCTATTTTTATTTTACAATAAGGTACAATATGTTCCATGATGTTCTTTATCCCGGGTATTTTTTTTATTGTATCTGCATACTCATTAATCTCAGTAAATCACAGAGAATCTGTCAATAATTTGAACACACTAACCAGATTCAGGTGTGTTTGCTAAATGCAACAGCAATAATAATATGCACACAAAACTTTTTTATAAGCAGAACACCAATGGCTGGTACCACCTGTTGATTACAGAAGCACTTTGGGGGAGATGGACATTTTAAGAAATTGGATCTCAGAAAAACTGAGTTTTATAGACCAAATGCCAAAGTAAGATGTTCACCAGCAAAAGAAACCATATTTTTTATTTTTTATTTTTTTAAGAGAAGTCAATTTTGAAAGCAATATTTGGTCAAGTGTTATTTGGTCAAAAATGTACTAAATCCACGTAATAGAGCATTCCAGGAACTTTACCCATAAGAAAATAAATGTTCCTGTCTTAACTTAGACTCCATAAAAATTAAAATTGTTTTGGAAGAAGGAATGACTTCCCTGTAACATAATGGATATTCAACAACTCAGACAACTCAGATGCATTTTGAGAACAACTTTCCATCCACCTCTAAAAGGAAAACAGACAACCAGTGTAAAATTACTCCTGAAGCCCAGACCATGCATTAATATTGCAGCTCAAGAAAAACTTCCTTGCTAATGCTTAACTTGTTATCTTAGCCACTTTTGCTTTTTCAGGACGTCTAGCTATTTTTTAACCATTTCCAGTCAGGAAAATTTGACAGAGTGCACTGAAATTCAGCCTTAGCCCTCTAAGGATGATCTAAACTTGATGAACTTTGCAAATTCCTCCTTGTTTTTTGCAGATTTAGAAGACAGTGTTAGTCAAGAGAGAGTTAGCCCTCTGCAATGCCATGATGGAGGTTTATATTTCTTGATAGTCATTTTTTAAAAGTAGACAAGTAGCAATCACTAAAAGAAAATGTGCTAGTACTTAGATAAATAAAGGTGGAAAATGTTAAACAAGAGCAATACATATAAATAAAAAAAATAACAAACTATTTATAGAGAAAGAATAGGGCATACACCCCAAACTAAGAAACTTTTTAAGAGGCTGCAGTAAGAATAATTCTCATAAATGCAAATTTACACCTCATAAGAAAACATAAATAAGCCACAATTCATCTTCCAATAATTAAACGTCAATTTTGCTGACAAGATCAGGAAACTTGAGCCAAACATCTGCATCAAATGATAAATTCGTGGCAAAAAAAAAAAAAGTCCTTTTCCCGCTGTAGGGCAGTCACAGCAAAGCAGACACAAGAAATGTTTTCTGCTTTCACTTAAAGTTGGGATGAGGATCCAAGTAGACTTCCCCACACTAAGAGAGGTAGCACTTGTAATTTTGTTTGCAACTCAAATTGTTCTTTTAAGATAAGATTGAAGGAACCAACTTTTCTCATATCTTTGGTTTGCTCACTGGTTTGCAAAGATTTTGCACATCTATGCTATACCTTGTTCATTGTTTAACTTTTATTTTTATTTAGCTTTTATAGGTACCAAAAATGTGGTTGAAGTTTAGTATCTTTCTGTCTTTCCAGCTACATTGGAATTTTTTTTGAAGTTCATCAAAAGAATAAAGGGAAAAAATAAAAATAAATCAGGACCTCAGAAGAGACTTTCAGAACTCATGTGTTCAGATTCTCTGCCAAGGGAGTCCTCTGGGCTGCCAGTGGGAGCTTCAGGGAGACAGTATGCCTTAGCTGAGTGTCTTAATAGCCTATTAAATTTTACGTATTTTCTGGTGTGGTGATTTTGTGACCTTGGGCTTGTCGGACAGCGACCTGCTGGGAACTGAGCAGCAGTTGCAAACATCAAAGTTGTAAAGTAAATGTCAAATCAAAGAGATTCCTGGTTGACTCCTTAGAGGTAAGTGTCAACATGCCTTTGGGAACATCTGGCTCACAGAAATATTAAAAACAAAATAACTATTTCTGAATGCTTCTCCATCAGGTCCATGTAGATATATCTCTTCTTCCTCTAACAGCAAGTCAGTAACCATCTTCAGTGGCTCTGTGGAAAATGGCATTTCTGTAAGTTGACCTTCATCACATCGCAAACCATTCATTGTTACATTTGCAAACCTATTGGTAGGACTTTAACTTACAGATTTTCCCAAAAAACTTGCTTCTTAATTGCTGCATCATTTTTAACTAGGGAGCAACATCTGAGTACAAAAACATTTTGTGAGGGAAATAAATTTAAAACAGAGAACTGAAAAGGAGGTACGTTTTTTCTCCTATACTTTTGTTTTTCCACATCAAGCCCTGGACAATAGTTTATTGAGAGACACTTTATGTAATCATTCTAATTTTTCTCCCCTCTTTTTCTTCTACTAGGTAAAAAGTCTTCCTCTTATGAATAATCTTTCAAAAGTCATTTCTTCTAGGTTTAAAATGTGAGAATCTCCAGCCTGGAAGTCAGAATTAGACTGTTTTAAAAAAAATTGCGTGTTCATTTTGTCTTTGTAATTAACAAAAGAATGTTCTATTGTGATTAAGCTTTAGGATACCTGCATTTATAACTGAACATATGCCCCAGGCCCTGTTCTTATCTCCTTTCTCATAGTTTTCCTGATGAGACTCTGACTTGAAAAAGGCTACATTCCTATAGTTTACCAGGACCTGGTCATCTTAAAAAAAAAAAAAGAAAGAAAAAAGAAAGCCAAGTGCCTGAACACCATTTATCCTGTTGGAGAGCTAAGATCACTTTTCATATCTGAATGAAAAAGAGCTGCTTGCCTCACTCTTCTCCAACCTCGACTCCTACTGCGCTAACAATCCTCCATTGTGACACTTAAAACATGCTTTCCAGCTGTCAGTGAGATGCTAGCAGAAGATTATTGAGACAGTATAATAGTCTGACTACTCTTCTGACGTCTGACTTCATTCCAGCCAAAATACTCTCCCTTCCCTACTTCTTCTACTGCAAGACATTGATAAGACTCCTTTTGAAGTGATGGGAAGTTCAAACTTCACAAGTCCCTGCCCACGTGCAGGAGCCTTCACTTCAACCCCCATCTCTACCCACAATAAATGTCAACTCAGTCTGTTTTCCCTAATCTCTCAAGTTATTTTTGGATGATCTTGGATGCCTGTACTGCTCTCCCTATAAAACCTTACTATGTGAGTGATAAACCTTCCCATACTTTCTTGGTGGATGCATGTGTGGTATCATCAGTCTCAACATCTGAACCAAATTTTGGATGAGGCATTCATCCTGCCTCTGGAAAATCTCTTTAAAAGAGTTTGCTGAATTGATCATGTCATGTTTGCCCATTGCTCCTTCCTGTCTTCCTGCTGGTGGTGGGTCAACCAGCCCTCCTGTAACAGAGCAACAAACCTGTGCTAAGGGTCTCTGAGTAGAAATAAGAAAAAACCTGGATTCCTGATGACATTGTGAGTTACCCCCTACTCCTAGACTGCCTGCTTCTGTACCTCTTAAGTCATGCAAAACAAACTAAATATGTTCAGTATCTTGTAGCTGAAAATAGATCTACACATACCTTATGACTGAATCATTTTATGAGTGGAAAGTAGTGAATTTTTTTCTGGGATGTGAACAGGAGAAAATCATAATACTTGTACCACACCTGGAATTTAGCCATTTTCAGTGGAGGGACCCTGTAGCTAACAGCAGTCACTGGACATTTTGGAGGCTAAATTGATTTTGGGTGAAATAAAGCTGCATGAACTCTCACAGAGAGCCTGTTTTTATAGCCGAAAAGTGGTCTGAAAATTAGTCTATGGTAGAATTTGGAGAGAGGTTCAGAATAAGCATCTTGCTTGGGAATCTGCTCGTATGTATCCATCTTATACTGTGAATGGGCTTAAGGAAACCTAAGTGTCAGAAAGCAGAAGATCTGTTTATTGAACATCAGTTCTGTCATTGGCAAGATAATAGGTATGCAAAGGGAAGAGAATATGAGCTTCATTTCCCTACCCCTAGTGGAGGGTGTTAATGAAGGAACACTAAAAAAGGTCATTACAAACATGACAAATACCTTCTAGTAGAATTACAGTTTGTTTTTATTTATGCAATGTTTCATTATGTCTATATTTTTGTAAATGAACACAAGTGCCAGCTAGTGCAAATGATTATGAAGAAAATCATATGAGCCAGATACAGAAAACTGAAAGTTAGAGTCACTATCACTGCCCTCACTAAGCTTAACAGTATATCCCATACTGACCTGGTAGGTAAGGCAGGAAAGGGAACAATCTGGGAGCAAAGTCTCCTGATCATGTTGTCCTTTCCTACAAGCACTGTGAAGAAACAATGCAGTGTTTATTTTTTGAATAAATGAAGGAATAAAAAGCCTACTGACAAAAGGAAATAACAATATAATTGTGAAATAAAAATATTAACAGAGTCTGAATCACTTATCTTTAGAAAAATGACATATTATAGAAAATTTCTAACTGAAACTCATCAAAGATCCAAACATTTTTATATTTCACTTACTTATTAGTAAAGTTTAACAAACAACTTCCAGTGTGTTTCACAGACTAATAAATGTTGATACCTATAAGCAGTATTTTACAAGTAGCGTTAAACTTTATTTAAATACTCAATATCTTTGTATTTTTCGTAGTCCACATTTCAAAGACAAAATGTTAAACATTCATACTATTGATAGAGTAAATGTACAATAAAATAAACCAGAAGGACAAGTTCTCCTCACTAGGCTACCATTGTAACATTCCCTGAAGTAGCAATGAGGGCATCTGCTTCTTTTCAAGGAGTAATAAGTAAGCTCAAATTCCAGGTCAACTTCTGGGACAAAAGAAAAAAGTTTAGTCAGGTCTCAAAGCAGTTTGTGGAAAGGTTTTCTGCCTCCCACCCCCCCAAAAAAAGGAAAGGAAGAAAGAAAAAGAAAGAAAGAAAGAAAGAAAGAAAGAAAGAAAGAAAGGAGGAAAGAGGAAGAAATATCTACTTCAAGAAAGGACAATAAAAATAGTGCAGTGTTACTGCATCCAAAGAACTATTATAGCCACAATAAATAAAATACCTAGAAATACATCTAAACAAAGAGGCAAAAGATCCTTACAAAAAGAACTATAAAACATTGCTGAGGGCAACCTCTTTCAGGTCTCCTCCCACTGTGGGAGCTTTTCTGTCTTCTTAATAAATCTTCAAGCCTAAGACATCACGCATTGCAAAAGTTATGTTAAATAAATAAATAGATAAATAAATAAATCTACTTTTTAAAAAATTGCTGGAAAAAACATAGATGACAAACAAAAAACATTCCATGCTCATGAGCTGGAATAATCAATATTATTAAAATGCCCATACTGCTCAAAGCAATCTACAGCTTCAACACAATTCCTATAAAAATACCAAAATAATTTTTCACAGAATTAGAAAAAAATTCTAAAATTTATATGGAATAAAAAAAGAGCCCAAATAGTCAAAGCAATCTTAAGCAAAAAGAACAAAGCTGGAGGCATCACATTACTTGACTTCAAACTTTACTACAAGGCTACAGTAACCAAAACAGCATGGTCCTAGTAATAGAGAACCCAGAAGTATAGCTGCTCATCTAAAGCCAACTGATCTTTGACAAAGTTGACAAAAATAAATAATGGAGAAGGTACTCTATTCAATAAATGATGCCAAGAATACTATCTGGTCACATTCAGAAGAAAAACTAGACCCCAACTTCTCACCATTTACAAAAATTAACTCAAGATGGAATAGTGACTTAAATGTAAGAACTAAAATCATAAAAGTACTAGAAGAAAACCTAGGAAATACTCTTCTTGACATTAGGCAAACAAGGAATTTATGACTAAGTTTTCAAAGGCAAATGCAGCAAAAACAAAAATTGACAATTAGGACCTAATTAAACTGAAGAGTTTCTGTATAGTCAAATAAATTATCAACAAAGTAAATAGAAAATCTACAAAATGAGAAAAAAAATTGCAGACTCTGCATTTGACAAATAACTAATATCTAGAATCTACAGGAAACTCAAATCAATCAATAGGAAAGAAACAACCCCATTAAAAAGTGGAGAAAGGACATGAACAGACATTACTCAATAGAAGACATACAAGCAGTTAACAAACATGAAAAAAATGGTCAGCATCACTAATTATCAGGGGAATGCAATTCAAAACCACAATGAGATGCCACTTCACACCAGTCAGAATGGCTGTTATTAAAAAGTCAAAAAACGGAGACGGGGCAAGATGGCGACCTGGCAACCCGGTGTCTGAAGCCCTCTGCAAGGGAGATCTGCAGTGGGTCTCTGACTCTCGCCCCCGGGAGGCTGGGGACCCCAGCACTGCAGCCTACTCCTCAAACAGAGCTCGGCCATCGCTATTACTGGAACATCGCAAGGACTGGACATTTTTACTGCATCGTCCTCTCCCGCTGCT